AGCTAGCAGAGTCCTTAGAGGTGCCATTTTTGGCCTCAAATCTCTGTGTGTCATTTTTAAAAACCTCTTCTCAAAGGGGTATGATTTTGACTGGCAAAATATATTCATTCTCTTCATTACAAAACCTATGCTCAGTCTCAGGATCTTCCTTTTTCTTTACCTGTCCAGTAGCAAATTCATTTAGCAGCTTTGGCCTCTGGGGCAACAAATCTTCTACTTCTGCCCTTTCTCCTCCGCTCCTTCATTATCCAGCTGATGCCATCCAACCATGATTTTACCTTGGACTTCCCCTCCTCCTCCCTGGTGATAATCCCCACAAACACATGATGTAGGTTTATTTTTGTTCCTCTTTAATTACTACATCTCTGTGCACAAATATGATTTTATCAGCTCAAGGATGTGGGCTTGCACAGGGGAAGAGTCTGTCTCTAGATCTGGTATTTGAGAATGGTAACTGGTTAGAGAGCTCTGATACTACTTGCCTGGTGAACCTCAGAGTAAGACCTGGAGCCTGTGAGAAGTGGTAAAAGAACAGTCAGTACTATTTTAAAGATATCCACAGGAGCTCATTATTTGGCAATAAAATTAGGGAGTCATCTTTCTGACTCATAGAACCCCTAGAACCTTGAGCCAGTGTAGTGTAACATTCAGAGTGTTGGACTGAGAGTTCAAATCCACATGGTGCCATGAAGCTCAGTAGGTGACTTTGGACCAACTGTACTCTCTCAACCTAATCTACCTCACAGGCTTCTTCTGAAGATAAATAGAGAATGGAGTAGCGTGCATGCTGCCATGAACTTCTTGGATGAAAGGTGGAATAAGAATGTGTTAGTTTCATCCCCACAGATGTTCCATGTGTGAACAATGGAAACATGGAAACCAACTGATACTTGTTCATCTTTGTGGCTTCTGTGCGGTCCCACTTGGGGACTGCACTTTTACAGGCTGGCCATGGAGAGGAGCTAGCAAGCTTTATAGAGAAGTTCTAGAGTCCAAGAGTGCTCTCCCTCCCCTCTGTCTTCCGTGTAGCCTTTCCCGCCCAAAGGGTCACATGACGGAGAAGGGGCGAGAGCACTCTTCCCTCAGTTCTCTTCTTGCCACCATAAGGAGAGGACATATATAGCAAGCTACTGTGAATGACATCCTTCAGTGCTTCTGACTGGATTTCTTCAAAATAGATCTTTTTGCAACTACAGCTAACACCAAATGCCCCCGTTTCAGCTCCAGTGTGGCAGCAGAACACAACTCGCTTGGGGATGCATTCTAGCTATGCTGGAATGGGCACCTGTTTTATTCATTACCTCCTTTTGGTATTTTTCGCAGGGTGGTCATTAAACTGAAGGCAGACAAAATGACCTGCATACTTCTCGCACCCTATTGGCCGTGATAGGTGTAGTTCCCACTGCTCTGGAACCTGACAAGGGGAATGCACAAATGCCTCCCAAGTAGGCCCAATCTGCCACCCGGGCTCAGGTCCTTACACCTGACAGCTTCGTTGATCAACCCCTACTGCCATTGACATAGAGGGTGACTAATGATTTCCTCAAGCAGACCTTCTACAAGAAGATCATATGAGTATAAATGGAAGAGGTTCTCAATATGGACAAAAACCCAAGGTATTAATCCAGAAACCTGTGACACATCTAAGATGGTTGAGTATCTCCTTACTCTGCAGAATGAGGACTTAGCAATTTCATCCATTAATGTCCACTTGGCTGTGATCTCAGCTTTTCATGAAACAGTAAAGAGTTTCACAGTTTTCTCTGTTGTGAAGTCCAAATGGTTTCTTAAAGGTTTGTTGAATTTATACCCACCTGTTGTATGCTCTGTCCCACAATGGAGTTTATCCAGGGCTGTAGCTAAAGCCCTCCTAGTGGGGGGGGGGCCTGGGGAAAGGGGAAGGCCGGAGTGTGTGTGTGTGTGCGCGCGCGCCGCACACACATCACCAGGAGTGGCGTAATGCCCTCCCCCCTTCTCTGGCCCTGACTGTCAGGGTCCCGGCTCCGGCCACAGCCCTTCCTGCCTTGGCGGCGGCCCGCCTGTCGCTTCCCACCCACCCCCAGCGGCGGGCCCGCCTCCCCGCCCGCCCA